TTTATTTCCTTTCAAACGAACTCGGTCTCTTTTTATTACATTTTCCCCCATACGCGGGCCTTCTAATTTCTTCATAGCAAGAAGTTAGTTTATCCCTCTGAATTTTCTAGCCCGCCATTTGGATTGTTTTTGCCCTTTTGTAAGATTAAGTCTTATGACAGCCCATTTGTTATGGTCTCCCATCGTTATTTACAGACATTGTCCCCCCATACTCTTTCTCATCTCTTTCGGCACAGTCTAAAACAATCCTTCTTTCTTAGCCGACCGTACATAAGAAGAACAGTGGGCTTCGTAGACAACGACTGTTGCTTAACATCAAAAAAGTTCATCTCATTTTGTGGTAGACTGGATGAGCATGACAGCCAATTTAAAACCCCCTTCGTAGAGTAAGACGCTGGAGCCATTTTTATGTCTTTTATTTACCCCCCCTCCCCCGCCAATCTACACTCTTGTCCCGTGCAATTTTCCTGCCTTGTTTATTCTGTTGCATTTATTTTTTATCGGAACGTTTGCGAAAATTAACCCTGCGTCGTCACATCATCCAGAATTGCCCGAGTCCCGTCTGTTTTGACCGCCTGATCTCATAACTTATTTAACTGTGTGCGCTTATTTTCATGTCTCTTTCTTAGGTTGGACCAGTTTGAGTCGATGCAAGCTTCCGATGAACTCTCGCCCTCCCAGGTTCGGCAAATGCTCTTCGACATTGAGTCCTCGTACAACGACTTCACTCGTGTTTTGAACAGCTGAACGCACACCCTCATTTCACCCTCTCCGACCAACGCTGACTGTATCTCTCTTAATTCGAGCTGTTCTTTTATATCATATTTGTTCCTCTTCTCTTTCTGCTCCGCTTCTGTTACGGAGGCGGGATCCTCCATGCACTCACGGCAGTCGCCGAAAAGGACGACTCCGCAGACCCCACAGACCTCACACGCGTTCAGTATTTGTGTACTGTTGCAAAAAGCCATTGCCTAGCAGAACCGCTCTCTTGGTTTCTTCTTCTTACTAGTCGAGTCAGAATAAACTGGGCTATAACAACTGGCGACGCAGGTGAGATGCGGTTGTTTAGTATGGGAGAGAACAACTGGCAATCCAAGCGAACACTACATGTTTAGCCCAGTACAAGTACTGAATATAATGGAGACAAGGCAAGCCAGTGTCACGACTCTCGTCGCAGAGATGCATAGCTGCAG